GGCGAAGTCCTGGCACCTGCCTTTGCTGGCAATGCTCTTCCACCAGCTTCCCCGTCACAAACCCACCCAGGGAGCCTTCCCTGTCTTCCCGCCCCCGCTGCACCTTAGCTGTGAATGAATAACAAAGCTAGTTTATGACCAGCTGCATCCTTTGGGTCAAACCTTGGGCTGAGGGTGTAAAATTCTACTATTTCCTCTTCCTAGTCCCTTCCTGTGAGCCAGGCAGTACCACGGGTAACCTAATCCTCTCGAAGAGAAAATAAAAGCCCAGAGAAATTAAGTAATCCCTTTAGGGTCACACAGCCAGAAGGGGACAACAAAATCAAGCTCCTCACGGCTCTGCCGCCCTGTCTCCCCGCCTCTAGGAAGCCCTCCCGGTTCTCACCAGGCAGCATGCGGGCCCTCTTGGAGGGGGTGTGCCGTCACTGGAGGTAACCAAGCGGCAGCTGGGGGGACACACCAGATAGCCCCGTCCATGCTGTGATCCCCCACTGCACACCAGAAGCGGATGCGGGTTTCCACCCTGTTTCCCCCACCCCGACTACCACTTCGCTCTCAGGGCAGGACTCCCTGATGCCTCCGATGTTTCCTTTCTTCTTAAATTTTCTTTTTTGAAGTTCCTAAAGCGAAGCCAGGATGTCCTACAGGCCTCTTTATTTTCACGTGTCCTCTTTTTTGAATCAATAGACTTAAAGTTGTAATTTTTCCATGCAGGGTTGTGTGCTCCCACATTGGGGGCTGTCTATCAGCACTTGACATGTGGTCAGCCTCTTCAGTCACATTGCAGAGAAGTGCGTTTGAGATCTCCACTAGTCAAAGACAGGGGAGAAGCTAACTGTCTCCCCTTCTTCCTTAGTAACTTCACTCCGAGTTGGGCACATCCCTTGTGCCAGAGAATGCTCACATGACTAAGTCCTGCTATGCAACACTGGGAAACGTGTGTTATTTTTGGGCAATTAAGCGCCATCTCAAAATGCCCATCTGCTTATCTCTATAAGCAGAAAAGGTAGGCAGGGGCAACTTCTGAGAATTAGTCTCCACTTGATCTTAGCCAAAAGGCCGAGAAGCAATTTGAGAATTAGTCTCAAAAGGAGAGAGTGTACTCAGACTTGATCCTACTTTCCCGCTGGCTGGAAAGTAGACACGATGGCTGGAGCTCCAGCAGTTAACTTGGCGCAGGAGGTGGGAATGAAAACCATGGTCAGTGGGGCACAAGGCAGGGGCCTAAATCCTTCACATCATACTGCCCAGGACTAAAGACGGCTGGACATTTGCCTGTAATGTGCTTCTCACAATTGAACTGAACTTTACCAGATACAGGTTGTCTCATAATTGAACTGAACTTTACCGGATACAGGGTTTTTATAGAGATAAACTTCCCCTGTCTATCATTTAATTCCCGCAACAATTCTGTAAGGCTATTCCATGGGGTAAACCCTTCAGAAGGGGCTGGACAGAGTGATGATTTTAAAATCTGAGGGCACGGACTTGGCTGAGAACATGAGAAATGCCAGGATTCTCTCCCTGGAGGACATCCTGCACACCACTTCCTGAGTGTCACAGATGCCAGCCTGCTAGCGAGCAGAACTTAAGGTGCACGGGGCTCTGGATGAGAAGGGTGGTGGCTACAGGGTCCCCAAAGAAGAAAAGTTTTAGGACAAAGCCCTCGAGGAGATGGCAGTAAGCAGAGAACTTGGAGGAGCTGGTGTTGGAAAGACAAGGGACCCTATGGAGCCGTTCACCCTATAGAATAGGAACCCCATGAGAAAGACATTCTGGAGAGAACCCTACAAGGACAGAAAAGTAAAATAACACAATCCCCCTGGGAAAGGATGCTATGAAAAGAGAGAAATCAGAGAGGAAGATCCCATGGAATCTAATAAAAAAGAAAGAAAATCCCAAGGAAGAAGGGATTCTACATCCCACGGTCTGTGGGAAACCCAGGAAGAAGCACCTCCATGATCAGTATCACTACTGAGTCAATTCTGTAGATCTGGGGCCCAGGGCTCTTAACCAGCAAAGGGCAGTCACAGGAGATAAATCTCCGTTCTCTCCAGCCTGAGCGGAACCAAGACGCTCTGGGCACAGAAATCCGACTGTTCCAGCCCGCGGGACTACAGTTCCCAAGAGGCCCCGCGGCTCCCGGCCACTTTCCCGGCGCCCACGCAGTGTCTGCCGGGATACGTAGTCCCAGCAGCGGCAGCCCCGACCGGAAGACGGGCTACGCCCCTGCCAGCGCCCCACCTCCTTCCATGTCCTCCGTCCAGTTGCGGCTGCTACTCGTGGGAGAGCTGGGCGAGGTGTAGTAATCGCCGCCGGGGCTCGTGTCCACGTCTTCCTCCATCGAGCCGGATTTGTGCCGCTTGCTCCTAACAGGAGGTAAAGAGAAAACAGGCCGGTTACCACGGATACGGGGGCGGGCGGGCTTTGCCGACTTCCGGCCGCCAGGGGGCGGGGCGAGGGCGGGCGCTACCGTGAGGCATCGCGGGAGCTGCGGCTTCTGCTGGCGTTGGCCGGCCCCGCCCATTGCCGGTTGGGGCGCCGGGGTCCGAGGCCGGAGGGGCTCGTCCTGGGCCCCCCAGAAACAAGCAGGATGGAGGCTGAAGCCTTAAAGACCCGCCTCATAATTTGGCCCACTGTGATCCTCAGATCAGCCGGAAAGGGTCGTGATCCCATTTTGCAGATGGGGAGACCGAGGCAGAATGTTAACAGCTGCTGTCACAGCGCATCTCAGCCAGAATCCGTGTCAGCAGCCCCAGGGAACCTTAAGGGCTGGAGGCTCTGGGAGCCCAGAATGGGGCTCAGGCCTGGGACAAGGTGCCTTTGGGACTGGGCTTTAGACATTTTCCAAGTGGGACGAAAACAGGCATACCAGGGAGAGGAATGAGCAAGCTGTTTGTGATCTGCCCAGAGGTGGGGACCCCAGCACCTACCCGCTGGAGGAAGTGCTGGGTAGCGTTCTCCTCATGCCCGTGCTGGCTGGATTCAGGTCGTAGGCCAGGTGCCCTTGCAGCTCCCCCAGGGAGAAGTTGGGTCCTGTTCCAGTCACCACGGGTGCTGCAGAGGGTAACAGGGGAGAGTGAGGCAAGGAGCAAGGTTCAGGGTTACAGTTTGCCCTGCAAGGGTGGAAAAAGCCTCTGGGGGGCAGGCGGTCAGAAGAAATACAAATTCCCAAATTGGCCTGGCTCGCTGGATCAGAAGACCAAGGCTGTCCAGAAAGAGCAAGGTCACACTGGGAAGCAGAGGTATAGCCAGGCCTGGAGGCCGAGCTTCCCAGTCCTCCCAGAGGCGAGGCTCTGCTGGTGTGGAAGGGAGGATGAGTGATAGCAAGGCAAAGACAGGAAAGTGCTTAGAATTCCCTGGGTGGGCTTCACTGCGTGTGTCTAGGGAAAGGTGTGGGTCCCCAGCACAGCAGGTAGGAGGGTAGGGCTCTTGGGGTTCCCTCCTGGGACAGGGCAGGGGAGGCCCCAGAAAGGAGGATGGATCGTGGAGTGGGAGGTCATCATCTCTCTCCACAACATTTGGAGTACACTCCTGGGAGGAGCAGGTCACCTTGAGCTTAAACTCTGGCAAGGGCCAGATACTGCCCTGCCGGGGGAACCTCGGCCTGGTGATAGTTGACTGGAGAGGATGAGGGGCGTAGGGCAGAGCCGGCTGCTTCCTTGTCCCTGGGCCCCGCCCCTCCCCAAGGCCCCCAGGCTGGGGATGGAGACACTTACTCCTTGACACTTGGATTAGCTCGGTGACGCTGAACACACCAGAGGTGACGAAGCTCTCCTGGAAGTCGGTGGTGTCTGCCACAGGGAGAATGCGAGGGTCAGGGGGTGGCCGCATAAGTCAGCACTCCTTCCATGACTGCCCCTGCCCACCCCCGGGACTGCCCAGACCGCGGGGCTGGACATCTCTGCTAGGGACACACCCTGTATACCTACTGCAGCACTGCAGAGAAGGGGTGGTGAGGCCAAGGTGGCCAGTTAAGCTTCGGCCAGTTAAGTCCCTCCCTCTAACACAGCTGGGCTGGACATTCTTTTCTGAGATGCCCCTTAGTCCTGCAGGCTTAGCCACCCCCGCTGGGCACCTTACCCAGTCAGGGCTTCACACATCCCTGCCTGCACTGGGGGCTCCATACTGTGTCAGGCCGCATGTACCAGTGAGGCGGGACCAGACCTCCCCTCTGAGCTCGAGTGTCAGGGCTGAGGAAAGAGGCCCTGGGCCTGGGTTTTAAAGGATGAGTAGGAGTTCCCAACAGAGGAACTCCTTCAACAGAGGCAGCTACAGTGCGACCAGCTCCTGAGCACAGTGTCTCTCAGCAGGAACCGCTGTCGCCATTCTCGAGGCCTCTTCCCTCGGCGGAGGCCGAGGGAACCCAGAGTGCAGTGTCCAGGGAGAGGGCGGAACCGGCTGGGGTTAGATGGAGGTAGGTGGAGGGACGGTCCCCAAAGGTGTACTCCCCAGCTCCCCAGGATAAAGTCCAGGGTCGCCTCTGCGTGTCCTCCCTCAGCCCTGATGCTTCTAAATCTTCAAAACGGGAACTATAGGCCTGGTCGTCTGGTCATGGCGAGACACGCGCTCCAGCAGCCAGCGTGCTGCTTGCTTTCTCTGGATCACCCTTTGCCCCGTGCAGCCCTGCAGGGTTTTCCTCTCTGCAGACAAGGGGCTCCATGAGGAGCCCAGTCCCTCCAGTGTCCTCAAAGCCTGGCAAAAAGCAGGGACTCAGGACCACGGGCAGAGTAGCGGGACGGGAGACAGCGCTTAAAATCCTTTCAGTGTGCTCAGAGGCACTTTTGAACCTCCAGACCGGAGTGGTTTGGATCCACTTCATGAATTTGGAGACGGAGGCCGGCTCCCAGAGACCCTCAAGGTAGTTTGGGTCAGGCCCATCCCAGACCCAGAAACCCTGCTGGTTGGCTCATTTTTCTCAGTCAGCATTTATTGGGCATCTCCGGTGTCTGACTTCTGGCCAGGCGCTTGGGGACATGGGGGATCAAGGCAGACGGAGGCGACTGCTTCCTGAGACTCTCAATCACGTCTGGTGAAGGAAGCCACGTGATTATGTCAGAACATGCCCAAATGTTCATCGGCGTAATTATTAGCCCATGTTGGAGACAACCCAAATGTCCACCAGTGGACAAGCATAGAAACAACACACTAGAATATGACCTGGCCGTGAAAAGGGGGAAGCTCTGACATAGGTTTCAAGGTCCAGGGTGAGTGAACCTTGAACACAAGACGCTCAGGGAGAGAAGCCAGACACACAAGGCCACGTGGGTGAGTCCTGACGTGAAGTGTCCAGGACAGGAGCAGCCTCTGAGGGGGTTTGTGGTGCCAGGGGCTGGGGCAGGGAAGAGGCGTACGCTGGGCAGGTTTCTTTTTCTTCCTTTCCAACCCCTGCCTTTTCTTTGTCTCCACTGTCCCCCTCCCTGCCTGCCTGCCCCTCCCTCCCTCCAACATTCCCCTTTTCTCACTGGTCCTTTCACCTGTTTATGCTTCTGTATTATGGTAATACACTGCAGTAGCGCTCTGAAAGACTCTTTCTGCCAAAGATGTGTGAATTTCTTGAAATCTGCGATTCTATATTCTCGCCTAATATGGTGACAGGCGCCTAATACAGCCTCAGACACGCTTCTGAGACAGGGAAGTGTCGTCACAGGCTGTTCCTGGTGTGTCTGTTCCTTTGGGTCACGCTTCCCTCTCCTTCCTCTCCCCCCACCATCCTGTGGGTCCCCGCCCCTCCCCCCTCCCTCAATCTAAGAGCCTTTGGGACATTTACTGATGCCTACTGGGTTTTCAAAGTGTTTGGGGATATTGAATTGCCCGTTTGTTAATGTCCAGTATTTGTCTTTATCATTCTGACTTCGCTGCACATAATTCTCCCAGATTCCCTCCCTGAAAACTCTTCCTTCCATGCAGCCAGACACAGCGTGGACCTGCAGGCCACAGCCATGGACAGACGCTCAGAGTGGGATTGCGGGTTGTATAGTATTTCCCTTTTTATTTTCTTAAAGATATATTCAGATTTCCTTACTGGTGGCATCTGTTCACTGACTTGGGGTTTCCTTTTCCCCAGCTGAGGGGACATGCAGAGGGGACATGTTTTTAATTCCTTTTCCATAGGGGTTGAGGCCCCCAAATATCTTTATAGTTGTCAGCATGGAACATGACCACCAATGCCTCCCCCTGTGTATTTTATTGTTGCAATTCTTGTACATAAATCTATGATTCAGGCCCTCCCTACTGGCGCAGTGGGTTAAAGGGCAGCACTATGAGGCCACCCACACCCGCTTCAGCGCAAGTTCGATCCCTGGCCAGGGAGTGACCCACATGGTGCGGCAGACCTCTCCTGTCTCCTCGCTGCTCCTCTCAGCAGTGTGTGTCATCACTCTGACTGTTCTACTCCTCACTCTGTCTTGGGAGAATCCTCTCACTGCCCCTGCACCTCTGGCTTGTACCCCAGTTCTATGTGCATAAATAAATCTTAAAAAAAAAAAAAAATCTATGAGGCTCTCCCTGGTGGCGTAGTGGGTTAAAGCACAGCACTGAGAAGCTAAAGCCACTTCCACATGAGTTCGATCCCTGCCTGTCCCGGAGGTGACCACATGGCAGCAGACCTCTCCTGACCTGCCCGCTGCTCCTCAGCAGTGGACTTCGTCAGTGGATCATGTTCTGCTTCCTGCTCTGTCTCTGGTGAATCCTGTCACCACCCCTGCACCTCTGGCCTGTACCCAAGCTCTGTATGTATCAATAAATAAAATACATCTTAAAAAAAAATTTATGATCAATTTGGAACTTATTTTCGTGTATAGTGCTACCAAAACATCTAACTTCTTTCTTTCCAATCTTTTCTGCACCATTTATTGGAGACTGTCTTTCCCCCATTTTATGGCTTGGCTGTTTTATCACAAACTAGCTGCTATACGTATGTGAATTTATTTCTGGGCTTTCGATTCTGTTCCACTTATCCGTGGATCTCTTGTGCCAATACCATACTGCCTTGTATACGGCGGGAGGTGGGTTTCCTTTTGAGTGTTGGGAATGAAGAAGCTGGCGATGGCTGGGCAGCCCTGTGCTCGCTAACTATCACTGAACTGCACATTTTAATCTGGTTGAAGCAGTGTGTTTTACGTTATGTGTATTTGCTACAATTTAAAAAAATATCACTAGGGCCTTTCCTGGTGGCACAGCGGGTTAGGATGCAGCACTGCAAGCTGGCCCTGCTTCAGTGCGAGTCCAATCCCCTGCAACTCTGGCCTGTCCCCAGTTCTGTATGCATAAATAAGTAAATATTTCAAAAATATATCTTTAAAAAGATGGTGAAGACAGAGGTGTGGTATGTCACAGGCAGCAAGGAAGGTGGGCGGGGGAGCAGTTTTACACAAAGGGCTGAAAGCGGAGCTTTGCCAAGACTTTGGGGCAGACTTCAGGGCAGGTATGGGTGAGTAGAACACCCGCCTCAGAGTTTGGGAAGTGCTAAGAGCAGCCCCTGGCACAGGGTAACTGACCTGTGAACGTTGGCTGCTGTGATCAGGAGGTTCTTAAACATGTTGCTTTGCTACCTCCCTGAGGGCCACAGTGTTCCTGGCAGCAGAACCAGTCTCTGTAAAAGCCCAGAGGCTTGGCAGGTTAGAGACTGCCAAGGCGGGAGCAGAAGGATCCGGGGAGGGTGGTCAGAGTGTGGCCAGTCCAGCAGATGGGCGGGCTCTGTGCTTTGGGTGGTGGTGGTGGTAATGGGGACAGTTCTTCTCCAGGCCTCTAGGGGGCAGCATGGGCCACACGGAGAGCGCAGTGGTGCCCAGTTCAGGGCTGCCCAAGCTCCAAGCCCTGGCCAGTTCAGGGCCCGAAGCCTCTGGGTTCTAGGCTTTGTGCATACCATTCTCTGAGCAATTATTGCTTGCCCTGACCCATGCTGGGAGACTCAGGGCCACGCAGGGAGGAGCTGGCAGGGTCCTCCCTCCAACCCGCCCATGTCCAGGGGAAGTGGCTGTCACTGTTTCCTGCCGACCCAGCTGGACCCATGCCCCTCTGCCCTCCCCCCACTGGGGTTTCCTGTTTGTGCAGCACTAACCCAGCTCCATCTCCAGGGGACTCCCTAGCAGGCGGGGAGGAAGTGATTTCCTCGGCCAGACTCAAACTCCCCAAGGGATCAGGCAAGGGCTGCTGCTACTGCCCCCGCCTGCCTTGAACATCTGGTTTGGAGGGAGGTGCCTGGAGATCATAGCAGGCCAAGGAGGACTCAGGGTCACAGACAGCCAGGGCCACTGAGCAGTGGCAGGGGAGGGTGTGTGTGTGGGAGGGGCTGTGAGCCTTTTGGAACCATTCAGTCGCCCAGTGTGCGCCTGTGCCAGTCCTGCCAAGCCGAATGCCCTCACCCACTGGCTTTTCTTCTTTCCCTCCTTTCTTCCTCTTTTTCTCTCCTCCTCCTTTCTGACATACCATCACTTTAGTTTCTGTTTTTCCCTGTTTCATCCCTCCCTCTCTCCTTTTTTCTTTCTACAAATATTGGGCATATACAGGTCCTTTTCTAAGCACTGAGGATACAGTATTGATCAAGACAGATAAAAGCCCCTGTCCTTGAGGAGAAGCACACATATGCTATCATTGAGCCACTAAACAAATACGTAGGCCATTACTAACTTTTTCTGAACCAAGTAAAACAGAGGGCAGAGACTAAGAGTGGCTGAAGCTGCTTGAACTGAGAGGTTTAAGGGCTTTTGAGCTAAGACCTGAAAGATCTGGAGAAAAAGAGCACCTAGCACTCCAGGTAGAGGGAACAGCCTGTATAAAGGTCCTAGGGCAGGACCAGGACTGGCATCTTGGAGAAACAGTGAGGAGGTCTATGTAGCTACAGCAGCATGAGTGAAGAGGGACAGTGAGGAAGAGAAGGCAAAGGTGGGATGGGACAGATAGAACAGGGCTTTGAGATCTGGGGGAGGACTTCAGCTTTGATGCTGAAGGACGTGGGAACCCTGGAGGGCTGCAGGCAGAGGAAGGGTGAGACCTGACTCGTGGTGCTCATAGGTGCCATGCTGTGGGGAGGACAGACCATTGAGGGTGGGAACCCGGAAGAGGACTTCACTGGTCCAGGTGGGCAGCGATCGGATCAGAGGGCAGAAGCAAGCAAGGATTTTGCAGAGTCCAAATCCTTCCGTGGGACGCAGCACCCTTTGTAGCCTTTCCTGTGGGGTGAGCACCATGGACTCTAGAAGCTGGAAGCTCAGTCATGGGCTCCATCCCAGCTCCCTGGGTGGCCCTGACCAGACACTTCACCCCCTGCAATCTGCAGTTTCCTCAGCTGCAAAATGGGCGGGCAGCAACACTTGCCGCATAGCCTGGCTGTGTGGAGTGACTCAGTTAGCCTGTGTGGCCTTGAATAAAAGATGGGAGTGGGGCCGTGCTGCCGTCTTGCCGGCCCAGACTTACCCAGTGTGATGGGCTTGCTGTCCTCCTGGTCAGAGCCCATCCCTGCCCGGGGGCTGCCACTCTGCTCTGCATCTGCAAGAGAGGGAGAAGTGTTGGTGACAGCAGGGACCCAGACCCCAGATGGCGATGAGGCGTCGTTGCAGGTGCGAGGCTAGGCCAGTGCCAGGGAGCTGGAGCTCCCCAAACTGACCACCTCTCTCGGCTGCTGCCCCTGTACCTATGCGCCTCACTCGCTGGGCTGGTTCCGGGCGGGGTTACCTTTGACCCTCAAGGTTCTTATCTCTGAAGTCAGGCTCATCCATTCTGCCTCATCCTAATAACGGAGGATCACCATGCCCATTTTATAGATGAGGAAACTGAGGACCAGAGAGACGTGTCCTTGAACCTTCAGACCTCATCCCCTTAGCCTTTGTCTTTGGAGTCCTGAGACTCAGCTCTCGGCCTGGGGTTGCCACTTCGAGCCCCCAGAGCGGGCTAAGGGGTAGCCATTTGCAGCTGCAGTGGCTTAGGGCTCCCTCCCACTCAGGCGCCCGCCCCGCCATCTTATCTAAAAATAATCACACTCCTTGGCAGACAAGCGAAGCAGACAGACGCTGAGCTCAGCATTATCGGCTCTGGTGGCCTGAGTGGAGGGTGAGTCGCAACAGCCCCTTTGCTGCCCCCACATCCTCCACCCTGCCATGAGGGCCAGGAAGTACGGCCAGGCTCTTGCAAACAGGACCCCCAGCCCTCTCCAGTGGCCTCTCGGGTCAAAGACAGGTGATGGGAATCCTCATCAAATGACCGAGAAGGAAGCTCAAGTCCCTCCCATTCCCCACATCCCCAAGCTGGCAGGTAGCTGCTATGTGACCTCAGGCAGGTAGCTTAACTGTTCTGAGCCTTCCTTTTCTCCTCATTCAAATGGGTATGATCATCTGGGCCTGAACTGGGTTGTTGCATTTAAACCCCTAAATAGGGCCCTTCCTGGTGGCGCAGCAGGTTGGGTGCAGCACTGCAAGCCAGCTGCAGCCGCCTCAGTGCAAGTTCGATCCCCGGCCCCAGAGGTGACCCACATGGCGCGGCAGACCTCTCCTGCCTCCCCGCTGCTCCCTTCAGCAGTGTACTTCGTTGCTCTACCTGTTCTGCTCCTCACTCTGTCTGCTGAGTCCTCTCACTGCCCCTGCACGTCTGGCCTGTACCCCAGTTCTGTATGCACAAATAAATAAATCTTAAATAAACCCCCTAGATTACTACAAATGGGTGATTTTTCCATTTAAATGTTCCCTTAATCCTTAAGATAGTCACGAGTCTGGCATTGTCAGGTACCCATCTGATAGACCAGGAAAATAGGGGGTTGCGACAGTGACCAAGTGCCCCCACCCCCCAACTGGGGGCTGTCCGATCCGCTGCGTTGCCTGTGGGGCAGCCACGTGGATCCCAGACTCTGGATCCCAGCTCTGGGGCCCCTGAAGCAGCATGGCCCCGGGGAAGTCATGTCTTTCCTCTCAGCACCTGTGCCCCTCAGGACTGCCAAGGGGCGACAGTGATGCTGCCTCCTAACACACTGCTGAGCCTGGCACCGTGCTGGTGGCTGTGCATACGCGGGATGTTCAGCACGGGCAGTCCGAGACTGAGGATGCCATCGGCAGCCAAGCTGTGCCTCAGTTTCCCAATCCATGACAGGAGTGAAGGGTGTGGCCCCTCCTGGCTTCAGCTTTGCAGCTCCTGGCATGGCTGACTGGGCTGGGCAGGGCTGGGCAGCAGCTGAGGGGAGTGTGCCCAGCTCGGCCCCACGCCCTGGGGCCACTCCTGGGCTGGGCAGCCCGTGGCCCCTCAGAGCCCGCCAGACCCGCTCGGATGGCCACGAAGCTGGGCCTGGGCAGCCACTCTTTTGGGAAGAGCCCAGCCTGGGCAGCCAGCCGCCTGGGCTCCAGGCCTCGGGCTCTTCTGGAACGGCACCCACACAGACTCAGCGGGCAGCGGTGCCTGGCTGGCACCCGGACGGGGAGGATGCTTGGAACACCTGCTGTGTGTTCCTGCTTTGGAGTCAGGGAGACAGGCCGGGGGCCTGCCCTGCACCGCCTCATCTCTCTGTGTGCCCTGCTGTCCTTACCTGTGACACGGGCACAGTAGCGAATGCAGGGAAGTGCCCCAGACAGTGGCGGGCACGTAGTGAGTGCTTCGAACGGGCAAGTTCATTACTGTGGTCACTGTGTCAACATTTCCTTTGTTGTTGCCGCCTTGGGAGCTGACACTTGCGTGGCAGCAGGGATCGGCCTGGCGCCTCTACCTGGGAGCCCATATCCCAGTGCTCATTCGACCTGTGGCCTCAAGTGACCTACGCCGCCTCTGAGCCTCAGTTTCCTTCTCTGTAAAATGGTGGAGAAAATACCCATTTTCCGGGGTGTGTGGGATTCCCAAGTCAGCTAATAGTAAGTATAGGAGCCTCCCTGGTGGCTAGGGGTTAAGTCTCAGCACTAGCACTACCAGGCCTGAGTTTGAGCCCCGGCCAGGGAGTGACCCTCAGGGCGCAGCAGACCTCTCCTGACCCGCCCGCTGCTCCCCTCAGCAGTGTATCTCAGTCCATCTGCCTGTTCTGCTCCCCACTCTGTGTCCAGTGAATCCTCTCGCCGCCGCATACCTCTATGTTCTGTGTATAAATAAATAAATCTTTACAAAATATATGTATAAAAGCATTGGCACCAAATTGACATTCAATGCAGGATTCTGGTTTTTTTTTTTTTTTAAGATTTATTTATTCATGCACACAGAACTGGAGTACAGGCCAGAGATGCAGTGGTAAGGGGCTTCACCAGAGACAGTGCGGAGCAGAACAGGCAGACTGACTGAAAGCCACTGCTGAGGGGCGCAGTGGGAGACAGGAGAGGTCTGCTGCGCCCTGGGGGGTCCCTCCCTGGCCGGGGATCGAACTGGTACTGCAGTGGCCTCAGTATTCTGCATCCTGCTGCTCTTTAACCCGCGGCGCCACCAGGGAGCCCTGATGTGTCTTTAACCTTGGTTCTAGGCTCTTCATAGCATTTAGAATTGTGGTTTTGCCTGTTAAACTTGTACTCTATAACTTTGGTGAACTCATTTAGTTCTAAGAGACTTTTTTTTTTTTTTGCCTAGATTGCTTGGAATTTTCCATTTTCCAGCACAGCATGGCAAGTTTCACTTGGTCCCTTCTAACCCGTCCGCGCCTGTCTTCCTTTTCTTGTGTGACTGCATTGGCTGGAGTCAGCACACTATTGAACACAAGTAGTGAAGTGGATTGCCCTTGTCTTGCTGCTTATCTCTGGGGTGACATTAGCTGTGGGGTTCTACAGATCCAGTTATGGGGTTTAAAGAGTTATTTTTCAGGGCCCTCCCTGGTGGTGCAGCAGGTTAAAGCACAGCACTAAGAAGCTAAAGCCACTTCAGCACGAGTTCGATCCCCGCCCCGGAGGTGACCACA